CAACAAAACTCCATGGCTGCCTTCCTTTGCACATAACTAGCTGATTCCTCCACAGCAAAACCCACTCAATATGGGGAGTTCTGAGCTAAGGAAATGGAAACAGTGGTATGTATGTATGTATGTATGTATGTATCTATGCATGTATGTTTTTACTTCTTACCTGGCCTTCACCATAAGTTTAAGTTTAAAACAAGAAGGGGGGGGGCTAAAAATATATCTCTTGAGTGTCAAAGGCCTTCCATGGAGGCAACTCACAGAGCTGATAGAAGATGTGAAGTACAGTAGTACCTCTAGTTACAAACTTCATTCCAGAAGTCCGTTATTAACCTGAAATTGTTTTTAACTAGAGGTGTGCTTTCGCTAATGGGGCCTCTTGCTGCTGCTGCGCCGCCGGCACACGATTTCCGTTCTCATCCTGGAGCAAAGTTCTCAACTCAAGGTAACTCTTCCAGGTTCGCGGAGATTGTAACCTGAAGCGTTGGTAACCTGAGGCGTTTGTACCTCGAGGTACCGCTGTATAGGGTTTGGGATAAGGTGTTAAAGAGCAGCTCTTTCCTTCTGCCCTGTGCCTTACCTCCACCATGAATTATGTTTCATAATCACTTATCTTATGTCCTAGAGAAAGCATCCAGCTAATGAATATTACCCCCTCCATCCCCAGCAACAAAATTATTGTCTGAATAAAAAGATCTTACATTTCTTCTGGATTTTTGGTGGAGCATGGAATCATAGAATCATAGATTTTTAGAGTTGGAAGGGACCCTCAAGGGTCATCTAGTCCATCCCCTTGCATTCTCAACTAAAATATCCATGACAGATGGCCAACCTCTGCTTTCAAATCTCCAAGGAAGGAGAGTCCACCACTTCCTGTTGAACAGTTCTTACTGTCCTCTCGACGTTTAGTCAGAATCTCCTTTCTTATAACTTGATTTCATTGGTTCAGATCCTAGTTTCTGGAGCGGCGGAGGGGGGGGAGCTTGCTCCATCTTCTACGTGACAACCCTTAAAGTATTTGAAGATGGATGTCGTATCTCCTCTTATCCAGGCTAAACATACCCATCTCCCTCAATCATTCCTCATAAGGCTTGGATTCTAGACCCTGATCATCGTAGTTGTCCTCCTCTGCACTTGTTCCAGATATTCCATATCCTTCTTAAATTGTGGTGCCCAGAATTGGACACAGTATTCCAGGTTTGGTCTGACCAAGGCAGAATAGAATGGTACTATGACTTCGCTTCATCAGGACACTGTACTTCTCTTGATGCAGCCTAGAATAGAATTATTGGGAAGGTTTTTTTAATGTCTGATGTTTCGTTGTATTTTTACATTCTGTTTGAAGTTGCCCAGAATGGCTGGGGCAACCCAGTCAGATTGGTGGGGTACAAATAATAAAGTGTTGTTGATGTTGTTAGATGATGGTGATGATGGTGACGATTTTGCTGCTGCTGCTGCTGCATCACACTGTTGAGTAATGAGTGGTCTGCTAAGATCCCTAGATCCTTTTCACATTTACTACTGGCAAGCCAGGTGTCCCCCATCTTATATTTGTACAGATAGTTCTTCCTGACCAAGTGCAGAACTTTATATTTGCCCATATTAAAATTATTATTTTTTTAATGTGGGCCCTGTTGTCCAATATGTTAAGATCCTCTTGAATCCTGATTCTGTCTTCTACCCCTTCCACTTTGGTGTCATCTGCAAATTTGATGAGCGTCCCCTCAATAGCTTCATCCAATTCATTTATAGAGATGTTGAACAATGGGTCCAGGACCAAACCCTGCAGCACCCCACTTGTCACTTTCTCCCCACAGAAGTGTTAGGAGCACTCTTTGAGTTCAATCAGTCAATCAGCTACAAATCCACTTAACAGTTACCTTGTCCAGTCCACATTTTACCAGTTTCTCCGCAAGAATATTGCTCTGCAAGAATATTCAGTGTTTGCATAGAAGAGAACACTTGAATGACACTAATATATTTTGGATTGCCCCAAAATATTCCCCAAAATGTAGCTAATAAGTCTAAACACTTTGACACCACCATCTCTTCCATGGGTTTAAGTATATCAGTTCTGTCTGTGTAACTGGGCCTGAGCATGGAATGGGAAGTATTTCTGATAATGTCATCTTCAGCATAATTTTTTCCAGCCAACCTAAAGTTGACTCTGGAGTCCTCATGACTCCAGCCTTCATACCAGACAAATCATAATTCAGTCAACACACTCATCACAAACCCATCTCTTTATATACCTAATTATAAAATCCCCACCAGGACTTCTGCATTCTTAACTCCAGGAAGCCCACCTTTATTGTGAGTGGATGCTAGTTAATCTCTTGAAAAATGGATCCCTTCTAAAGGATTGCTTTCCACTTCCTTAGAATGATCTCCTATGAGACCCTCATTCTCTGTGACAGGTGAAGAGCATAGGTTCAGGACATTTCCATCATGTCTCTGAAAATCTCATCTAAATATATCACTGCCTAAAACCTTCAAAGCCATTCAGTCACACCAACAATCCCTTGTGATCAATAGTATCAAAGATCACTGAAAGTTGGAGTACCCAGAGTTTTCCAACTTTTTCACCATGCGTAAATAAACAGCCAAAGCTATGTGCAATGCCATACCTCGTTTGTAAACCAGATGGACAATCTGACCATATTCAGATATGGTGTTATTAAACCAGGTGTTGTAGAACTTCTTCAAAAAACCTTCCTCTTCAAGGGAAGTAACTGTGGGTTCTGAGGTCTCCTCAAAGCTATGCCAAAGTACTTTGCAAATTCATCACAGTGGACAGTATTTTTCTATGGAGCCCCTGGCTTCAGACTCTAAAAAATTCAAAACAGAGGCACCAGTACCACCCAGGCACCTTTCTTTTCCTGTGACACTTTCCCCTCTTCTTTTTGACACATTTTCCCTGAGCACCGCAAGCCCTTTGCTCCCCACTTAGTCCATCCTTGCATCTCCGCTTCAACTCTGAAGAATGCCACCCCAGGCCCAACTGTTCCAGTGGTGGAGGGAATGAAGGTGACCAGATGCAATGAACTGTGGAGGCTTCCATGTCTTGACTTCTGTTTCCTTATTTCTGCTGGAATATCCTATCCTGTGCAGCCAAAGGTATATTGTAATAGCTGACAATTTCCATCGGACACCATATGCAAAAGAGAACAATCACACACAGAGGACTGTGGTGAAGATGCAAAATCAATGCAGCTAACTAGGAACAGAGGGTAATTGGGGAAACAGAAATAAACCAAACAATTTACTACCAATTAATCTCAGCTTAAGTAAAACAAAATAGATCTTTAGCCAGCCCAGTTCATTTATTCTGGTGTAGGTCTCAATGGAAGTTTGGCTGTCTCTATTTCTTCAGTCACATTGACTCCAAAGATGGTGCCTGGGTCACTGTTATTCTTCACATTTTTTTTAACCTCACACTTCCTCCAAGCTACTCAGACAGACATACCGTATATGTTTCCCTTCCAGTTGCATCCTCATAACAGCCCTGTAAATTAGGAGAGGGAGGGACTGGTCCAAGCTCATCCCAACACTACACTGGCCAGTCCCTGCAAAAGGAGGTTCCTGATGTCTACCTGATCCTTCTGCACAGCCTGTCTTCTTGGATGACTCTGAAATATATACTTTTCAAGCATGGCTTATAGCGCAACTCTATACGCGTTCACTCAGAAATAAACCTTAAATTCAATAGTGCTTACTCTTGGGTAAGTATAAGTGGGCCTTATTTTGTGTCTGAAAAGAACATTGGAAAACAAAATGTAACATTGTGTTAATCTGAAATTGCTTACCTTCTGACCCGTGGCAGCAGCAGGAGGAGCCGGAGTCACTGTTGGGGGCTGGTGATGGGGTTAGTTCCCCCTTGTGTGTGAAGCCCCCTTCGCGAGACGGCCTTGCCGTCGCCTTCATCCCCTTCCTCCTCCTCTCTGTCCGTTTGTCAAGGCTCGCGCCATTGCCGTGTCTAAAAGGGATGCCAGACAGTATAATACCGTCCAGGAGTCTCCAGTGGTGATAAGGACATGAGACTCCTGCCAGATTCCAGATGGTTCATCACAACTGACATCTAGGTAGGCAACTGTGAAAAAGATCCTTGGATTATTTTATCTTATTTTCGTTGGAGACCACAGTCTCTCTCTCTCTCTCTCTCTCTCTCTCTATATATATATATATATTAGTTTGTTAACATACCATTTTCAACAGTAATTAAACATACTTTTACATCTTATTCAATTTTTTTGCCTTCCATCAGTCCTATCTGAAAATTTTCCAATCTAATCTCTTAGTATGCATTTCTTATTTTCCATATTACATTTCAAACTCATAACCAATATCTCCATCTTTTTCTACTTTGTAACACTTCATATATTTCTCCTTACAAAACTTCTTGTAGTCCTACTAGCGTAATTTGTTGATTACAGTTGCTCTTCAAATAATTCATATACTTCTTCCAATCTTCTGTAAATCTCTGGTCCCGCAGGTTTCGAGTCCTTCCTGTCATTTTGTCCAATTCTGCATAGTCCATTAATTTTGTCTGCCATTCTTCTTTTGTCAGAATTTCTTCTTGCTTCCATTTCTGGGCTAACAATACTCTTGCCACTGTTGTTGCATGTAAGAACAATTTAACATCTTGCCTATTAATGTCTTGGCCTATAATACCAAGTAAAAATGCTTCTTCTTTTTTAAGAATGTATATGTCAACATCTTTTTCATCTCATTATATATCATTTCCCAGAAGTTCTTTACTGTTGGAGACCACAGTCTCAGATCTACAGGATACACCAGGCTCCATATTTCCTTTAGATTTTTAAATTAACTTTCTAATGAGGATGACTGATACTGTTATGGTAAAGGAGAGAGGTGATACAATGAAAAATTCAGAAATGGAGGTAAAAGACAACATTGCAGTGCAACACTTCATAAAATCAGAAAGCCACGAGCAAATTCAAGTGGAAAAGAATGAAAGGTGTACCGATAATAAAAATGATGTGCAGGAGAAAATTCAGATCAGCCAACACAATCTTTTGAAAAGGAAGAGAAACCCTTGAAAGATGAAGCAGAAAAGGAAAAGTCCATTGATAAATTGCCCAGGAAAATGTTATCAAGAGATTCTAGCCAAGAAGATACAGATTCAACTGGTATAGATCTACATGAGTTTTTAGTAAATACGTTGAAAAACAATCCCAGGGACAGAATGATGCTGCTGAAATTGGAACAAGAAATCTTAGATTTCATTGGTAATAACGAAATCCCTCAAAAGATATCCCCCCCCCATGATTTCTTACCACAGAATGTTATTGCACAGAGTGGCTGCTTACTTTGGACTGGAGCACAATGTGGACCAGAGTGGAAAGTCAGTTATAGTAAATAAAACCAGCAATACCAGAATACCTGACCAGATGTTTTGTGTATAATTTAAAAAAAATAATAAATTGCTTACCTTCTTCCACATTTTGTAGACTGTGGATTTTGGTGTAAATCTTACCTATTCTTGTTGAACACATAAACCTTTTATTCCTCTGCCTTACTTCCAGGGATGATCTTTGATTTAGAGAAGAGAAGTCAGGATGACAGCAAGCTATGCCAGCAGATACGGGCTCCAGAAATGCCTTCATTTATTTGAGTTTGTTAAATCCAGCTTTTTATTCCATGCAAGCAGCGCTTAAATTTACAGATATGCTGTATTCTTGTTATAGTATGTCATCAAAAAATGACAATGAAACCACACAAAACTTTAAATGAAAGTGAATACAATTGGATTCCATGAATCCGTGTCATTATTGCATTGTTAAATGAATGGGTTAAGAAGTATACCATAGAATCATGTAATTACATCTGCATTTGTACTTGTATTTGAAATGCTTCTCAGTTTCTTCTCTCTCACTTGCATTTGAATTATTCAGCTCTTGGGTCACTGAGCTCTGTCAATTGATGATGATGATGATGATAGGAGCCAACTCCTAGGGGCTTTGAGGGCTTCGGCTCCCCCAATAAAATATTTCAGGGGGCTGCCCCCCAAAATTAATGGGCATTGTCATTTAAATGGTTTGCATGCACCATGTCATGTGATGATTATGTGGGTTACCTCCCCCCCCCATATTTTATTCAGGTTGGCACCCCAATGATGATGATTGGCATTTATATGCCACTCATTCAGCAAGGTTCTCTGAGCAGTTCACAAAACAGTAGGTAACTCAGGATATACAGAAATGGAATGTGTCTCTGTTTCTGGTCAGCAAAATGCTCTCATGCGCATTACCTCATTGCCAGATGAAGAGCTTGGAAGGAATCATAGAATAGAATCATAGAATCATAGAATCATAGAGTTGGAAGAGATCACAAGGGCCATCGAGTCCAACCCCCTGCCAAGCAGGAAACACCATCAGAGCACTCCTGACATATGGTTGTCAAGCCTCTGCTTAAAGACCTCCAAAGAAGGAGACTCCACCACACTCCTTGGCAGCAAATTCCACTGTCAAACAGCTCTTACTGTCAGGAAGTTCTTCCTAATGTTTAGGTGGAATCTTCTTTCTTGTAGTTTGGATCCATTGCTCCGTGTCCGCTTCTCTGGAGCAGCAGAAAACAACCTTTCTCCCTCCTCTATGTGACATCCTTTTATAGATCCGTTGTGGTTCCAAATTCCATGGAATACAACTGCTCCATGCCACACATTCAGCCACTGCCTAGAGAGATGGCCCAGGGTTCCACTAGGGCACCTTGTACCTCAGGATGTCTGACCACCGGAACTTCTTATTAATGAGTCTGAGGATGCCCCATGCCGTATTGCAATTGAATTTATATACTGCTCTATACTTGCAGGTCTCAGGATAAAATCAGAATATAAAACCACAAGGCACATAATCAAAATAAAAACAACAACCCAATAACAACCCCCCCCCCAAAAAAAACAGCCCAATAACCCCCCTCCATTTTGGATGAGGAGAAACTGTTAGAAATTGTTGTTTCATTGTCTTTGATAAAATTATTTCTTGAAAATGTCACACGCAGACAGTGAAAGCAAAGAGACAGAAAACCATTGGGGCATTGATGAAATTCTATTCAAACAATACAATAAAGGAGGGCAGCTGATTGAACCTACCCCAAAGACATTTGGTAGCAAAGTCCTTACCCAAATCTGGCATTGCAATCTGTGGCTCTGATTCAAAACCCATTAAAGCTTTTTAAACTGTGCAGAATCCCCCCCCCCAAAGCTATACTCTCTACCATCAGGAATATCAGCAACTCTTCTTCATAGAGAATCTGGGCAGCCAACAATTAAGGCAAGAGCGGACTGCGCTCAGTTAAAGTATATTTAAATAATTGCTACTATGCATGTTGAGCGTTTTCCTGCACTGTACTATATGGAATTGGATGATAACCAACTCTCAATATGTTTTAGACTCATATTATTTTCCAGAACTGAGCTCTGCTTTGACCTTGAATAAGTGTCAACTAAGGGATTCTCTCTTCGGGGTGGAATCCAGGAGGAAACTGCAACTAGTTAGAAACAAAAAAAATCCTCTTCCTTAAGAATGCTTCCTTAAGAAATACCTAAATTGGGTTGTGTTTCCAAATACAGTGGTACCTTGGTTGTTGAACTCAATCCGTTCCGGGAGTCCGTTCGACTCCTGGAACAGTTCCAACACCAAGGCTGCAGGAGCTTCCTACACTCAATCAGAAGCTGTGGAAGCCACGTCGTACGTTCGGCTTCTGAAAAACATTCGCAAACTGGAACACTCACTTCGTCCAAGTCTCAGGGTGTTCAACAACCAAGGTACGACTGTACAAACTTTGTATTGGTGGTCACCCTCAGGTGGAAGACATCGCTCATTATCTTTTGCCTGCCCCATATATAGCCTGACCCAAGAGATCACTTTCTGAAACCTTTGTTCACATAAGCAGGCAGGCACACCCTGGCAGAAATGGTTCCGTTACTTCTGAGTAACAGTTATAACATCATAATACACAGAGTGGCCCTCTACGCACCGACTGGGGGAAAAACAGGAAAAAGGAGTTAGATAAAACTATAAATTGTTGTGGTGATTCAGAGATTTAATCTGAAATCAAGCTGGATCTGAGTTTATTGGTGTCTCCAGTAACCTGTCTCATAGATTGTTATGTACTGAGTTGAATAGGATCCAAACTGAAGCAGTCTGATTGGTCCTAGAACAATAGGATCCAAATTGCAGCAGTCTGATTGGTCCTAGAACAATAGGATTCAGAATGCAACAGTCTGATTGGTCCTAGAACAATGCAGCAGTATGATTGGCTGGCAGGAACCACCCAATCATGCTCCAGATATAAGTGAATCCACAACCTGATTGGCTTACAGTAGAATTCCAGAATTAGCCAATCATGTGCAGCCCATTGTGTAAATAATGTATATAAAGCAGATACTTTGAGGGGACTGGCATTCATTCCTCCTCACCACTGTGAGCTGAATAAAGAGCATGAAATCACTTTGCGACTCTGAGTATATTTCATAGATGTTGCCTCATATTATGGATGCATGATCTATATTGTTTTATTGGTACTGTTGCTGCAGGTTTATTATGACCTTTTGCTAGAACAATAAACTTTGGTGGCTGGTGGCTACTAACTAGTGTGCCCACTTGCTAATGTCAAACTAAAGGAATCAGCTTAGCAGCTAGACAATAGGCAGTGAAACTAAGAATTTATCAAGAATGTATAACTTGCTGTTGAAATGGAATACACAGGATGAAACGGTCAAATCGGTTATGATCAAATGGGCACAAGATTTTGGACATAACATTATGTTTGCTGACTGGGAACAGTTATGGACCACAGGTATGAAATTTACGGCTTGTAATGCCTTAAGAGAAAATATAATGAAAATGATTTACAGGTGGTACTTAACCCCAGTCAAGCTAGCAAAAATTTATCATTTGCCAGATAGCAAATGTTGGAAATGTAAAGAGACAGAGGGTACATTTTTTCACCTTTGGTGGACATGCCCAAGGATTAAGGCTTTCTGGGAAATGATATATAATGAACTGAAAAAGGTATTTAAATATACCTTTCTGAAGAAACCAGAGGCCTTTCTTCTGGGCATGGTCGGCCAATTGGTGCGAAGGGAGGATAGAACTTTCTTTATGTATGCTACAACAGCAGCAAGAATACTCATTGGAAGTACTGGAAGACACAAGAATTGCCCACCCGAGAAGAATGGCAGATGAAAGTGATGGACTACATGGAACTGGCTGAGATGACCGGCAGAATTCGAGACCAGGGAGAAGGGTCGATGGAAGAAGATTGGAAAAAAATTAAAATATATCTTCAGAAGTAATATAAAAAGAATGTTAGAAGGAGGTTGGAAAAAGAATATTAGGTCGTTTGGGTAGATACGATATAATGGAATAAGCAAAAATGAGTTGATGAATTTGATGAAATAGAGGAGGTTTAATTACATTATTTTAATTTTAAAATACGTAAATGAAAATAAGGTTAGAGGGATTTGCTGGAAACACGATTTGAACTAGAATACAAAATTGGGAGGTGAGAGGAGGTCATGGAAATAAGTAAAGGGAAAAGGTTATGTAAAGGTTTAATCTGCTTTTGTTTTATTTTAACTTAATGTATTTTTATATTTTTTGTTAAGTCTTCTTTTTTATTCTATCTTATTGTTCTTTTTATTTGTTTATCTTTTGCTTTGTTATGGTTAAAGTTTTCTTTGTATTTTGTATGGTTTTTCTTTTTTTTTCTGTAACTTTAAATTTGGAATAAATATCATTTAAAAAAAAAAAAGACAATAGGCAGTGAAAGCAAGGGAAATGCAGAGATTTTGCCACTGGCTGGCAAGATTGTTAGTTGTTTGTTTGGAGGAAGCTGGCGGTGCCCCCCCCCCCCGCCATCCTCAACTTGTGTATTTTCAAATGAACAGACTTTTTTTTTCCAGTAACCGGATAAGAATTCTCCAGTGCTCTCTCCTCAGGAAGAAAGTGACCTTGTAAAAGACACCCCCTGGAAATTCCTGCTTTACAGAGAACTGTTTGCCTGTGTGTGTGTGTGTGTGTGTGCACCTATGTGATATGCAAGCATAGGTGTTCCAAACAAAACAAAGTCATAGAATCATAGAACTGTATCGTTGGAAGGGATCCCAAAGGATCATCTAGCCCAACCCGCTGCAATGCAGTTAAAGAATCCCTGAGAGATGGCCATTCAACTTCCATTTAAAAACCTCCAATGGTGTATTTATTTATAATGCTTATATATCCTGCCTTTTGATTGAATGACCTAAAAGAGATTGCAGTAATATGAAGCAAACTCCACAATGGATTGGCTCTGAGTGGAGCAAAGCGTTCTTCCTGAAGTGGGGGGGGGGGGAGGCATCTCCTGGAGACTGCTGCTTCTCTGAGCAGGGCTGGGGGCCAGTCTGGTTTTCCTCCGGCACGGATGAACTTCCTGGGTGGCTGGCTGCTCGTGGCCCTTACTGCTCAGGCTGATGGAAGGCTCCAGAGTGTGTTTCTCTTCAGTCCCCATTTTATTTCATTCTAAATTCATTCGGGTTTGAAATCTTACCCATTCAAGCTGGGTGGGTGGTTCCACCAGTTGTTTGTCTCACATAGACACACATGCAATGAACATAAGAACCTTGTGCATTATTCTAAGTGCACTTCACACATTTCTGCAGATATTTTTTCAAATGAACAAGATCCGTACGCTGGTATAATCACCAGAAGGAACACATGCAAAGAAGTGACCAGCTTATAAGTACATAGAAAATGCAACTTACCCTTGTTAGCTTAAATGTGTGTGCTTAGATAGATGTTGTTCCTGTTATGTATCCATGTCTGTTCATATAAATTATATGAACTAATGGATTATATATTAGCTACGCACTATTCACAGTTGTCCGAGTTGCACACCCTCTATTTCAGCCGGTGGTGGATTTCTCACTTTCTCTCTGTGATTGCCTCAGAAATCTTGTGTTGTGTGTGTTACTCTGACCTTGACCTGGGTGAACTCACTGCAGAAACAGCTGCTGCAGGAGGAGGAGGAGGAGGAGGAGGAGGAGGCAGCGATGGAGAGAGAGAGCTCAGCAGCCTTGGCTTTCTGGCAGGGGTGGGGCCTGGGAGCCTCCACTCAGCCATTTTGCAGCCACTGTGGCCTTGCTAAAGCTTTATGCTGGCTTTTTAAAAGGCTCCCTAGATGATACACACGCAACGCAGGGATGCACTTAGCCAAAGAGAGTGTTAGGTCCCTGAAGGCCTCATCTTGCAGGGCACGCTGGCTGTTTTAAGCTTGTCAGCATTCCCCAAAGGAAACTGTTTAAAGCCGTGCTGCTTCCCTTTCATACTGCCCAGACCAAAGCGCAACTTGATTTGGCTGGGTGATGGGGCTGTTTCCAGCCTCCCTTTGAGCCTGTAGAAACATGGTCTCCCAAACTCAGCTTTCGCACCTCCTGCTAGCAGCAGCCCTTCCCATTCAGCCATCACACCCCACTCCCTTTGCCTCGCTGATGGACAGAGACATGCAGTGTCTCAAGGTGCTCTGCTTGGGTCCACCTGCTGGGTGCCCTGAGCCTTCACCCGATGCAGGATCTTGCTGGCACTGAGAACCAGAGACTCCTGAAGATGAGACCAGATTTTGCATGGATCCCGTGACGACTGGAATCAGTGGTGCACAGGCGCTTCTCAGCATCGCTCCCTGGGAGAGGGAGGTGGTGGCTTCAGTGCTGTCACATTGCATCAGCAGTTCACCCAGCTCTCCTTTAGCTAGTGGGAATACTGCACAGTGACCTAGTAATTGCTGGGCTGCTTGGATCCGATATCCTCTGAGCTGGGTGGCTGCAACTCCTGCTCAGGATTAAGGTCTCCAAAGGACTGAAGGCTGAAATAAGACAGGCCCTTAGGAAATGGGAATTCTCCTCCTCCTCCTCGTCTTCATTTTTGCAGCTGAAGAAACAGAAGCAGGACCACGCTGAGCAGACAATAGCAGGATTGATCACTAATGACTAGCATGCCTAGTCCCCATACCAGTGTGCCCATGGGGGTCCCACAGTGTGCATCCCTCACACTCATGGCAAGCAGGTGTGGGGTCAGACCTGGGAGCCAAACACAGCCCCCACCCGCTCTCTGTATCTGGCCTTGGGACCCTTCCTAAACCAGGGCCCTGCTCCAAGCTGCAGGTCTCAGCATCCCTATTCTGCATCATCCTTGGCTGCTTCTGACTGGCTGAAATGGGTCGTTGAACTGTGCTAATGCCTCTTGCTTGCCAGAATGGAGGAGCTTTAAAAATGCCCGATGAAGCCTACTGTGCTCCACCACCTTTTTTCCTGTGACCCTTCTGGCATATGACCAACAGGAAGCTTGGAGACCTAGGCTGGCAAAGGCTCCCACCCCTGATGTAGCGGAATGGCTGCCAGTCAGACCACGGGGAAAAGCAAAGCCTCTCTGATGATTTACACTGACATCAGGCATCCTTCTGCAACACAAGCTCCCCTCCCCCTTCAGATACTCTTGACTGTAGTAATAAAGGGCATTACGCTAATTATTCATACTTAGCACTGAGTGTTCAAAAGATTATTAAGAGAAATCTGGGTTTTGTGAGAGGACTATGTACAAAATGTCATTTGCGCTGGGAACTGGGAGCTGGGGAGAAAAAGAAACAGCACGGAAAACACCAAATTAGGGAAGAAAACAGGCACAGCTGCTTCACAGAGGCAAGGTGCAGCATTCTGGTGAAGATCTGGCATCTGACAGCCCCACCTCTGCCCACTCTGTCCGCTGGGTCCTCCTGGGAAGGTGGGCAGGGAAAAGTAGATTCAGGTAGGTAGCCGTGTTGGTCTGACGCAGTCAAAAAATAATAATAAATAAATAAAGATTGTCCAGTAGCCCCTTAGAGACCAACTACGTTTGTTCTGGGTATAAGCTTCTGTGTGCATGCACACTTCTTCACACACTTCAGTATCTGAAGCAGTGTGCATGCACACGAAAGCTTATACCCCGAACAAACATAGTTGGTCTCTAAGGTGCTACTGGACAATCTTTATTTTTTTCATTTTTTTCAGGAAAAAGTAGTTGTGTTCCTCCCAGGGGTGTAGAAACAATGGCAGCCTCCCTGGGAAGTGGGCTGGTGCCATCCCCAGGTTCCTAAGAGGGCTTTTCCCAGTGTGAGGGATGCCCTGGCACCCAGGGCTGGCCTGCCCATGAGGCACAGTGGAATCCAACAGGATGGGGCCCCGTGGGTGTCCTGCCTGCCACTGCCACTGCCACTGCTGTTGGAGGGGCTGGACACACAGGAATGGTGGGAGGCACCAGCTGGGGAACCCCCCAGGGAAGAAGGCTCAGCACCTGTCATCTGCAGCTCGGTGGTAGGACGATGAGGAGTGGACAGAGGGAGGAGGGGGAGCAGGCTGGGAGGAGGAGGTATTGGAAGCTGAGGAGGTAGCAGGGTTTAGTGAGCAGGAAGAGGCTGTGGCAGAAGCCGAGGCAGAGGCAGGAGAGGAGGAAGGCAAAGAGGCAGCCCCGTGTCAGGCTGGCAAAGGGACAAATAGAAGAAGACGCCTTCACCCCAGTATGGCTCCTCTTTATCACATACACAGCCCAATAAGACAATGACAAGAAACCACCAACAGCATACGGATCAATATGGCTAACCTGATCCAAAGCATCCACCCACCCACTCACACATGAAAACAAAGTTCACCACAGCCACTCAGAAATGAACAGTCACACCCTAGGCCAACCCCCGACCTCTCTCAACACCAAAGGAACACAAGTGAATAGCAAAGAGAACCTGCACAAGCGACGCTGACACGATACCCCAAACATACATTAAGTAGGATAGAAACATCGCCACCCTCACTCACCATTCCCACCTCCACCTCTTTCCCCCTTTTCTTCCTAATGTAAGACTAATGTCTCAACAAATGAAACTGATCTGTAGAAAATGTAACTTGAAAAAAGAGACATTGCACATACTTTTGTAAACCAAGAAATCTTTAATAAAAATACATTTAAAAAAAATGTCAGGCTGGTGAAGAAGCTTTGACAAGCTCCCCTCCCCCCGGTCTCCCAGGATCAAAAGAGGTATGAAGAGGGAGGAGCAGAGACACGTGCACTGGCATAGTCTCAGATTTCTTGGGAAGGACCCAGGGGAGGGGGAGTTTTATGCAGCTGTGGGAAGGAGACCTCCAGTCTCCACAACTGCATCATGTGGCAAAATCTACTGAGAAGAGTTGATGCTCCTTGGGCCTGGCTCCCATGAGCAAGTCTTGCTTCTGCTAATAAAGAGTTAACTTTACTTACTCCGTGTGATTTATTCCTGACACCCACTCCTGACATGGGGTTTCATGGCTGTGGCGGCTGCTTCCAGGAAGATCTAGCGAGATCTTGCAGAACTTTCACAAGTTCTCTCTGGAAGATGACCCTGGTAAGTGAGGCTTCAGCAGGGGGCACCTTCCTGCTTTGATTCAGGCAGGTTATAAAAGTGGTGGAGGCTCCTATAGACAGTTCCATAAACCATTCAATAACTGGACACTCTCTTTAAAGTTTACAAATGGGGGGAAATGATTTAAAATATACAGCTTTCCCTCTTACCCAAGTACTGGTAATTGCTCAGGTTTTAGTTCAATGAAGGATGCTACGACAGTATCACATTTCTGTGTTCACTTGATATGGAAGAAGCATCCCAAGGCGACGCTGATGTGCTTTTTTCTTAAGGATGCAGCTGTCCCACAAAGGCTGGCTGCCACAGCTCATTCTGTTATCTCAAAAATGCATTTTTTCATAAAATGCTTTTCAGGGGGAGGGAACACAGCACCAATAAATGGCACCAGACTTACCCTATTTTTTGTGGTTGTCTCTTTTGTAACTGAAAGTTTTTTAAAGCTGTTGTACTTTAAATTGTTGTCACTCACCCTGGGACCTTATGGTGAAGGGCAAGTAATAAATAATCATAATAATCAAGAAAGGGCAAAGCAAACTATAAGCAGCCAGCATAATCTATGTGAGGGTAAATTATGTTAGTGTAACTCAACTCTATTCCAAACTCCATTCAGGAGTGGAGCCTGGCATTTGGAAAACAAGCCTTTAAAATAGAATTCCCCTTACACCACCCTGGTGGCTGGAGTAACTCCCACTGGGTTGCTAGGACACAATGCCAAGATGAATGAAGTTTGGAATAGGGATAAGGCTCCCCCTGGCCCTCCCCACCAGCCAACTTTGCACCATGCCCTGTTCCAGCTGGCTGAGCACTAGCTGAGCCAGCGTGGAGAACTTAGGCTGCATATCTCCAGCCAAGCCAGGAGAAGCAACGTCCATTGGTGCAGCCACGGCTGAGACCAGGTTCGGTGGGAGGGAGAGCCACCTGTTCCAAACGCTGCTCATTCTGGCGGATCTTGGGGTTGGATGGCTCACTAAAAGTCACTTCTTTAGTGTGTAAAGGGCACTGGCAAAATATTCTCAGGAACGTATTTCATAGTATATCTTCTACTCCAAACCTTATTGAATAAGTCTCTGCAAAAAGCCTTCAACTTTTAAATTTCTAGTGTCAAATTTAACAAAGGAGAAAGAATTCAAACATGGGCTTTAAATTTACAGGAAAAAACACAACAACTGTCAGCTTACATTGAGAATACAATAGCCACCAGCACTTTGCTCTAAAATTAGTGAGGTCCTTGGGCCACTGAGTAATGGGCAGGGGGCATTGATCCTTCCACGCTCAAAGTATAAGAATAATTTTTTATTAACCGACCAATCACATCAAATCAAACCAAATTACATAAATTCCAAATTACACAGCCGAATTTTAAATTTTTGTTGGGGGTACCCATATTTCAAGTTCCGAAGGGGATCCAATCAACTTCTTGTTCTTGCTGCTGTTTTAATGTCCACAAATCTAACCATATGATGTTCATAGTACTATCCAGTCCTTTCTTATTGTTTTTCCACATCTCTTGTTGTTATTTTCATATATTTTTCCTTTCTCTTTGTGACCTCTGATAGTCTCCACAAGCTGGTTAAAACAGTTTGTAATCCTGCGTGGATTATTTTTTTTTATCCAGTAGCCATATCCAGACGTTTTCCATATAACATCACTTCCATACATCAAAACAGTCTTAGCGTCATTAATCTTCACCAATCTGCCTCCTTTCTCAAACCTCTGAGGAGATTCACCAGGAATGCAGTCTGAAAACAAGTCCATTCCTCCTCCCGGCTATAAATCCTTTGGCAAGATGGCGACTCTGAATTGATTGCTGCGCCATTCCAAAAGCTCTTATTCCTTCTCGATCTCCATAAAGCATACTTTTGGTTAAAGTTTATCTCCACACAGACCTTAATCATCCTGCTTGGGTCAGTTAAACCGACGGTTCTAATGAGGAGGGGTTCTTGGTAAATCACATAGAAGAAAAGTAAAAAAGGTTCCCCCCCCCATTCAGTCCCGTTGCTGACATACCCAGCCTTTGGTGTATCTTCATCGTAAAATATTCCTGTTGCTCCAACTCGTCGTCTTCTTTCGCAGAGGTCCCTTAAATTAGCAGTCTTCACTCCCCTTCTTCACTTGAAATATGTGCATTTGCTTCTTTTGTAATTAATTATTCCTGCAGCTGCAGCTAGTGTGCTATCAGAGACAGCGTCCAGGAGAGCCGAGGTCCACACGGGGGCATTCTGCCTAGTGCCCTCACCCCCTTCTTTCGAATTTGGGGGTGATTTATGGGCACAGCAGGCAAGGGCAGTGTTCCCCATTCCCTTGGGGCAACAAGGGAGGCTGCCTACTCCCATAACAGCCTCTTAATTACCCCGTGTGGGTTGGAGAGATGGTATTGTCGGCCATCTTCCAATGCGCCCCTAGTGGCCCCCTCCACGCTCAAAGTATAAATCTCTTGGCAGCCAAAAGGGATTGATACATCCATTTTTGTTATCGTGCTGTTTATCCCTATACTAAAGGAATATAGTTTAAAAGTGTACAAACATCTGCAAATGCCTTGTGAGAAGTGGTTGTGCTGCTGGATCAGGCATTTGGTTTTTCTCAGTGGCCAGCCTGACCTCTCTTGGAAGCTTGCAAGCCTGGCTTGCAGGTGAAGGTCTTCCTCTGTTGTCCGTCCCCAGAATCTGATGCTCAGAGATCTGATGCTTCCCCTGTACGTGCAGGCAGGGGTGCCAACTCCGTGGCATAGCGGGGGCTGGGTGGGCCATAGCCCTGGGCAGATTTTTTTGAGGAGGTGCAACCAGGTGCCCCCACGACACGTTCCCTCATCGAGGGAAGCCGTGCCCAGACCCAGCCTTCAGGGTGGGGTGGTGGTGGTAGCTCCTTCCCCTTAGAGCTGCCCCTGGGCCGGCCAAGAGGGAGGGGAGGGTGCAACCACCAGCCAACTGCTGCTCCACACCTGGGGCAAGCCTGATTTGGGGGCAGAGGCAGCAGAGAGGAGGGGAGGCAGTGGCCTCTCCTCCACTGGGCTGCAGTGTGCAAGGGCACTGTACAGTGGTACCTCGGGTTAAGAACTTAATTTGTTCTGGAGGTT